GACGACGAGGAACCTGCTCCTTGGACCAGGGAGGGGAAGGACAGGATGAAAAAGCTGGGCCTAACAATGCAGGTACTCCCTTGGGACATCTCCTGGCCACTGAACTCGATGGATAGGAGGAATTTTTCTGTTCCGTGCTCTTATGTAACGGTTCAGACTGAGGAGGGGCACAAATGCTTCCATTCTTGGAGGTTTTTTATTTCTTTATACATCAGGAGGCTGAAAGGGCAAAACTCTTTTTTTTTTGTACAAGATTTCCATACTCTGCATAACTGCTTCAACAAGAGCAGGGATCTGTTGCTTAAAGTAGATTAAAACTGCCCCTGGAGCAGTTCTCCAGAGGTCAGCCTTGGACCTGTATTGGCCTGTCAAGTCTGAACTGGTGTGTCTGCATTGGATGCTCTTTGTTTTGTCTCCTTGTAGTATCCTGAAGGATATTTGGAAGCTGTTGCAAATAAAGACAAGGAAAAAGAAAATAGCGAAGATGATGAGTTCGATACCCCGGGGAGAGGAAAGAGGAAAAGGAAATCAGCAGGTTTGTGGAGTAGGCAAGTGGATATAGAAAGCCTTGTAGGTTTTTGAGCATTTTACTTCATTTTTTTTCTGGTGTTTTTTTTCATTTGGTTCAAAAAAAAAATCACTGTGTTTTTCTTTCAGGTGGGGAGGAAAAACTCATCCCCTCCCCAGCAGGGACTCCGAAGAAAACTAAAGTTGAACCATACAAGCTGACAGCCCAGCAGAAATCCCTTATAAAAAGTGATGAAGCCAATGAAAAACTGTGGAATGAAGTACTAGAGGCTCTCAAAGATGGACCGGTACATCCTGCTTTTGATCCCCAGAAATAAAGGGACTTTCTCCCCACAAATAAAGGAACAACTGTAGCTGTGCTGTGTCCCTAGATACAAACCTTGGCTGCATCAAAGAAACAGCCCCAGACCTACAGTGGTTTTATTTTAGTGCAGACACCCCCAGCACGTTTAATGTGACTGTTTTTACACGTTAAGATTTGTAGAAAACCTCCCGTGGCTGAAGTAAATCCCTTGCATTTAATGTGGGGTGGGGATTCTGGGTTGGTTTTTTTTTTTTTTAATATCTTTCAGAGCGTGGTGGCAATAAGTTGATTGCAGTGTTGTCTTTCCAGAAATTCCTGAATAAGGTGGAGGAGGCCTTCCTGTGCATCTGCTGTCAGGAGGTCGTGTTCCGGCCCGTCACAACCGTCTGCCAGCACAACGTGTGCAAGGTGAGGGGCCCTGCTGAGCTCACTCAACCTGGAGCTGCCTCACGAGTGGGCACAGGCTTGGGGTGGCTGGGACAGCTTGGTTGGTTTGGGGTTTTTTGGCCAGGAATTAGTCCTTTAGTGTTAGGAAGGTTTAGAGGGACTTCGGACACGGGACGCAGGGAATGGCTTCCCACTGCCAGAGGGCAGGGTTGGATGGGATATGGGGAAGGGATTCATCCCTGAGAGGGTGGGCAGGCCCTGGCACAGGTTGGGCAGAGAAGCTGTGGCTGCCCCTGGATCCCTGGAAGTGTCCAAGCCCAGGCTGGAGCAACCTGGGATAGTGGAAGGTGTCCCTGCCCAGGGCAGGGGGTGGCACTGGATGATCTTAAAGGTCCCTTCTGAATCCCAAACCATTCTGTGCCATCCTTTATCTGTTCATCTCAACCCAGGCAGTTCCCAATTGGCCTCAGCAGTTTTCAGAAGCTGCTGTGTCGTTGCTCTGTGTTCTCAGGACAGATCCCTTCCCTTTATTTGCTTCTTTATCCCTCCCAGCAACCCCTTTTTTGACCATTTTCGCTCTTAACGGGTTCGATTGAGAAAGGTGATGTGGAATCCAACTCAGTGTTGGCTTCCCTGCTCCCTGGGAGCTCTGATGAGGTGGTTGGAACACGCTGGCGTGTCAGTTGAGACGCTGAAGTTTTCCCTCCGCCTCGGCCTTTCCCGGCGGAAAACCTGGAGCCAACACACCCCTTAACCAGGAATTCTTGTGTCCCTCAGGACTGTCTGGACAGATCCTTCCGTGCTGACGTTTACAGCTGCCCTGCCTGTCGCTACGACCTGGGCAAGAGCTACAGGATGGAGGTGAACGAGCCCCTGCAGGACATCCTCACCCAGCTCTTCCCCGGCTACGGCAACGGCCGGTGATTCTGTCAAAAGCACTTCTCGATCCCTTGGGTTCACACTTGCCATGGGCTTAATTTAAAAAGAAAAACAAAACAAAACAAAAAAAATCACAACAAAGCAGTAGTCCGTGTTCTCCCAGACCCGCCCCTCCCTTAAAAAACAAAAAAACAAAAAAAAGGTTTGAAGTCTTCCTTGTTTTTAAAACAACTATAAACTCCAAGGACTGTCCTTTTATGCGTTCGTGGGTTTTGTTTTCGTTCTAAATGTTGAAGTGTGCTCTTTTCTTTTTGTTGTTGTTGTTGTTTTTGCTCCCCTCGAACCTGCCATTCATCAGCACAGAATTATTTGTTCTTAATGGACTGAAAGTGCTTCCGGTGAGGCTGCTAACAATGAGGAAAGTTCTCAAGAGTTGCCCCTTCCCCCCCAGGGCCCCCCTTTATTTTTATTTTTATTTTTTTTTTTTCTATTCCAATAATGGCTTGGTTGCTAGAACAATCTTCACTGTCTGGGGATTTGGCCATCAAGGTAGACTTGTGCATCACCTTGGCAGCATTTGGATACTCAGTTTTTACAAGATGGTTCCTGGCTTTGTACCACGAGTGGGTATTTGCTATTTTTTTTTTTTTTTGTAAGAACTGGGGTTTTATACTGTTGACAGAAAGCCATTTCCTGCTAATTTTATATATCAAAACCATAAAGCTGCTTGCTTTAGAGCCAAGTAGTTGGAGCAATACGAAGTACTACCTCACTGGACTTGTCGTAGGGAAGGATTTGTTCAGCCAGGCGCTGTCCTCTGTCCCGAAAATGCCATTGTGGAATATCCTAAAGCCATTCTTAAGTGCCTTTTGTCCTTTGCTGGAAGACTGGGCTCTGAATCACCATATAGATCTTCATTTTTTTTTTTTTTT